GGTAGTCTGCTATCGTCCCAGTCTGTTTTAGTCGAGTGAGGAGTTCGTCGTAATCCACGAACGTCGTCGGCCCAAAACGGATGCACAGGGATTTCTGTGAACTCCGCCCAAGTTACCCGAGGATGGGTTTGTCAATACCACTGGAGCTAGAGAATAGTGTCTCCTTCTAGGTGAATGGAGGTGATGGCGACGCGCTGGTGTGCAGGGGTTTCATGGTACTCGAAGAATCTCTCTGCTTTGAAAATCCAAGGAATGGGATCTCCACCGGAATAGTTGGGAAAATTGATTTTAGTAACCTTTCCGGCGGGGTAACCCCCAGTTCCTTGGCTACCGGAAATAGAGGCGTCAGCCCCTGCTGGATGACTGGTTTCGCCGGATTGTTGTTGGGAGGCGAGGTTAGAGATGACCACCTTGAGATCCCTGAGTTCGTTCAATACCTGGTGGAACCCAATCTCAAGTTGGTCGACTCTATCTTCCATGGTAGAGGATCTTGTCTGCGGCATAGCTGGTCTGCAACCTCGCTCTGATACCAACTTGGTGAGTTTCCGCTCACCTCGGAAACCTCTTCGAGGGAGGCTTGACCTCCTGAAACAGATGATGGAGAGAAAAGAGATAAGGGAGGGAAGGAATAAACTGGACTCAGGGAGAAGAAAATTAAGGGAGAATCATTCATTGCTTTCATTATATGATGATGGCCTTATATAGCTGACCTACAGGTATAATATCAGAGGGAATATCCTCTGATTTCTGGATAACTAACTCTGGCAGATAACATGGGTAGAATATCTTCAGGCGGCAGAGTAACCAACTCTGAGTGTAACTAATTCTGGGGCTCTGTCGCCTGTCTCCTCTATCTTCTTGTGAATGACTGATAGGTGGTGGCCTGCTCCACTCCCCTAGTGGGTTCTGGAGGGAGTGTTTGGGTCTCAACAGGCACCTAAACATGGGCATTTGAATTTCAAAAGTCTCTCATTGTTAAATAACAAGAATATGGTGATTGGACTTTCTCAAATTGGTAGAGAACATAAAATATGTGAATATTGCGTCTATGGGAAGCATCATAGGCTACAATTTTCAAAGAGATCATGGTATTCAAAGGCACCATGAGGATACCTTCCTTCAACAACAAGAGGTATTTCCTTCTATTTATTGATGATTTTACTAGAATTGTTTGGGTATATTTCTTAGATGCAAAATCACAAACATTACTTACTTTTATTCAATTCAAAGCTTTTGTTGAGAAGCAAAGTGACCACAAATTGAAAATTTTGACGAAAAAATCACAAACATTGCCTACTTTTGTTCAATTCAAAGCTATTGTGAAAAACAAGACACCAAAAGAGAGTTGACAGTAAGACATGCCCCACAATAAAATGGCGTATGAAGCATGATGCATAGTAAAAACCTTCCCAAAAGCTTCTAGGCTGAAGCAGTTTATTCTATTGTCCATATATTAAATTATTCTCCCACCAAAGTCATGCAAAACAAAGCATCGTTTGAAGCATGGCACAAAAGAAGTCTATTGTTAGCTGATTCAAAGTGTTTGGCTGCATTGCTTATACTTACATTTCTTCAAAAAAGAGAGAATTTTGATGGCAAAGGCAAGAAATATATTTTCCTTGGCTATAGTGATGAATCTAAAGGTTATTGGTTGCTGAATCCAACTACAAATGAGTTGATAATTTTAAGAGATGTGATATTTGATGAAGAAGGGGCATAGAAGATGAAGAAGTAATGCCTAATGATCATGAGTATGAAACAACTACACAAATTGTAAGGCCAACAAATACAAAAAGATCAAGTCTAACAAGTTTTAGTCTAAGAATGGATCCCTCAAGTTCAAGAATCTAAGATCCATGGCAAGCAAGTCCAAGTGATATAAATTTGGATACTCCACCAAGAAATGTACATTTACTTCAAGAAATCTTTGATTCTTGTGATGTTGCATTTCTTACACTAGAGCAACAAAAGTTTGAAGAAGCTTCAAAAGAAGAAGTTTGGGTGAAAGTTATGAATGAAGAAATTGAAATGATTAAGAAGAATAAGACATAGGAATTGGTTAACAAATCCAAAGAAAAAGAAGTAATTGGGCTGGAATGGGTTTACAAAATAGATTAATGAAGATGACTTAATCCAAAAGCACAAAGCAACGTTAGTGGCCAAAGGCTATACCCACTAGCCTGGGGTAGATTTCCATGAAACATTTGCACTAGTGGAAAGAATAGAAACAATTAGAACAATGCTTACACTTGCTACTCAATTGAAACTGCAAGGGTTCTAGTTTGATGTGAAATCAACTTTCCCAAATGGAGATTTAGAAGAGGAAAAAAGAGGATAAGATTTAAATTGCTTAAAGCAAGCACTTTGGGCATAGAATGGAAAATTTGATAAATACTTTTATAAAAATGGATTTGAAAAAAGTCTAAATGAGCGATTACTCTATGTCAAGAAGGAAGATATGCATGAATTTATTCTTGTTTGTCTTTATGTTAACGATGTGATTTATACAAGTAACAACTCAAAATTGTTGAATGAATTCAAATTAGCAATGACCAAGGAATAAGAGATGACTGATTTGGGGTTAATACTTGGGATTCAAGTGAATCAAAGAAAATGTGAAATTTTTATGTCCCAAGAGAAGTATGCTGATGATTTATTAAAAAGATTTCATATGTTAATTTATAAACCCCTAACTATTCCTATGGCTATCAATGAAATGTTGTCAAAGGTAGGAAGATGGAGCTGAATTGGTAGATGCATCAATTTATAGAAGACTTGTCGGCTCTTTGATTTATCTCACCAACATAAGGCAAGATATTGTGCTTGTTGTAAGCATTATTTCAAGATACCTGAACAAGCCAAGTAAAGTTCATTTTGGAGCAACAAAGAGAATACTTAGAAATGTGAAAGGAACTAAGAACTTGGGTTGAAATATGAAAGTGAAAATGACTGCAAGTTGGTTGGATTTTCAGATAGTGATTGGATTCGTTCCATAGATGATCGAAAAAACACAATTGGATATATTTTTTCCTTGGAAAATAAAATGATTTCTTGGTCACCCAAGAAGCAAAATACTGTGGCACTCTCTTCAATTAAAGCATAATACATTTCAGCCGTTCGTGCAACTTGTGAAGCAATTTGGCTTAGAAGACTTTGAGAAGACCTTCAATTTGTGCAAAATGGCCCAACTACAATCTATTATGACAATAGCTATTGTAATGACCAAAAACCCAGTTTTCTATAGAAGAACAAAGCATATTGAACTGAGACACCATTTCATCAAAGAATCAACTAAGAAGGAGAAATTAACTTGAAGTTCATCAAGACTGAACACCTCTTCACCATGCCTCCAGTTTCAGAAAGGTTTGTGCATTTTAGATCTCTAATGAAAATTACAAGTTAAAAGGGAGTGTTGAAAAGTAAGAGTGGTAAATGTTCTAGACTTGTAAAACCTAGAAGTGGAAGTTTGGCTTTTCATCTTCTTATCTTCATTCTTTCTTCAACTTTTCTTATACAGATTTTTGCCTTTCCTTTAATTTTTACCACCACACTTCTGTTGTTCTAACATTCAACAATCAAGGAAAAGCTTCAATACCTTACGACCAATAACCCATAGCTGCCTTCTTATATACAATGAATGAGTTCAAGAAAATGCACACATTAAGAAATGGCTATGGAATAGAATGCACCCTAGGATTAGTATCAACCTTGTGGTCATATTATCACATATACTACAAAAGATATAGGGAGCATGCCCAACATTTATTTCCTTGTCAAATTATGAGGTGAGTGGTGTATATAATTGTACCAAGACAACTTCCTACTCTATCAAGGTAACAAGAGTATAAAGGACTACTATTCATCCCTACAATCCTTTGCAATGAAGTGAATGTATATTAGCCCCTTAATGTAGACCTAAAAGCACAACAACAACAAGAACAACGACGACTACGAGACTTAGATGTTGTTAGATTTTTGTTGGTCTAAAGACAAAATATGATCTAGTTTAAATAGGAGTAGAGGTCATACTCCTCAAATTATGAATCATATGACGTGATGGTGGTTGAGAGCTAGGAGAGGTCATGGAAGATGAGGACATGGTGATTTTAGGAAGTGAACGTATTGTAAATCAGACAAGCATAAAATTAACATTTGTTATGGTCTTCATGGTCCATCTTATAGCTGGGAAAATCATATTGTAGTTATTGAGGCCGATACTATATGAAAAAATCAACCAAGAGAAGATGGTCTCATTCAGGTGGAGTGCTCTCTTAAGGGATTTACATTGTGTTGTTTCAATTTCTGAAAAAATGGCCTACCAAGAGTAACCGATAGTGTATCTGGAAGCTTGGTTGAGGTAGGGAGGTGTCTTACTAGTGTATGTAGGGCTAACCATGGTTATGTTTAATCAGAAAACTATGCAGAAGAAACTGTGTAGAAGTATATATCTTTTCTAGAGTTCTGTTAGAGAAGAGATTAAATCTCCGTGGGGTTATTGAAAAAATCAAGATGTGGAAAAATTCTAAGGAAATAATGGTTAAATTCTAAGGAAATATCTTTGCTAGAGTTATGTTAGAGAAGAGATTAAATCTCTCCATGGGGTTATTGAAAACATCAAGATACATGTGAAAATCTTCTAAGGAAATAATTGTTAAGCCTGTAATGGTTGATGTTCTTTGGGTCTGTTTTAGCACTGAATGAGAGATAAAATTGTTTCTCGAGTTGAGTTTGTGTGGATTGTAAAAGAATATACAAGGACTACAAATGGAGTACATGATGAGAAAATTTGCGAGAAATCTTGGACAAGTTGGAGAAGTGGTGAAGGGGGAGATGATGAAAAGAAGAAAAAGTAGTTCACTCTATTCAATAGGTAGAAGCAGTTAACTAGAGAAGAAAAATGATTCTTTCTTTCGTCTAGTTCCGTTACGTTTTTGGTATGCCCCCTATCTTCCTCAATAGACACAACAAACTAGGGAGATAGTAGTGAGAAGGAATATTACCTTGAACCATTGGAGTTCTCGTTGCATTTGCAGAGCAGCACCAGAAACACAATTAATTCGAGAGGAAGGTGCCAATTTTGCTACTAGATGCAACATATTAGAACCATAAAAGGACAACATCTTCTTAAATCCACCTGTTCGGTGTATAAGATTGAAAATCTTTTCTTGGCGATACACAATTGCCGTATGAAATGGGGTACCCTGATATGAAGCTCTCTTATGATATCGGCAATGCTGATCATCAAGTACATACCACACCTGACCAGGAAAATGATTAAGACACTCGATTATCAACTCCTCAATTCCATTCTCCGCAGCAAGGTGCATTGCGCCGCGAACTTGATAGAAGGGAGCCTCCATATTCTCTATGCGTCCGTCTTCGATCTGAGCAGATATGTCTTCAAGCTGTTCGCAAATGCGTTTCACTAGTTCAACGCTCTGCTTATGCATCAGCTTTTTGTTATATACCCTCTTGATAATTGCAACTGTAAAAGCACAAAGTGAGGATTGAGGAGGTGTTTCCGATGTGAGAAGACGCATATGGTATTTGCAGACACGATATTAGAATTAATTCCTACTTATTGTTCTTAAAAGTATTTGACTGGTTTCAAGTTTCAGACCTCTGTTGATGAGGGCTTTCTGAAGGAACCGGACTAGATTCGGCATAGCTGAGGTTCCAGTTGTAGGGTTTTGAGTATTACTTCCAATGGCATTTTGAGTTGTTCCATTTGGAGTTCTGTCATGAGCTTGTTCCAAATGAATACCTTCAACAACAAGAAAGTTCAAACATATTCGGAATTATTTTCGTAATGAAAAAACACATAATAATAAAAAAAAGTGAAATTTTCGATCAGTACTAGTGCTATTTTGGTGTTTTTAACTTTAAAATCCGACAATTTAGTGCCTAAATTTTCAAAACGTGCCAATTAACTAAGTAGTATTTAAAAAGACACAAATAATCTTTAATTGTTATCTAATTTTTTTTTATCAATCATCTAAATGTTGATAAAAAATGAACAGTCTCAAATCCTTATCTCTTCTATTCAAGAAAGCTGGAATGTTAGAATGTCCATTAAGACATGAACCCAACTTCTTTATCAATCATATAAACATTGGTAAAAAATGAACAATCCCAAATCCTACATCTTTGAGTAAATCCAATATGCAAAACAATTATAACTCTAAGATATGTTTCTTCTTTTATGAGTAACAAAGTAATAAATCATCTCATTGAGCTAAGGGTGTCAGTGGACAGGTTTTGGATTGGACCCCATCCAGTCCAAAATCAATTTGGACAGATTGGACAGATCAACAAGGCATATTAGATTGGATCAATCTGGTCCAAAATATATATTAAATTGGATTGGACCTGGTCCGACTGCAATAAATTTACAATGGATTAGGTTGGATTAAAGTCAATATTTTGGTCCATTGATGGGCCAGGTTTAGATTGAAACCAATCTAAATCAAAATGAATTTGAACAGATTAGATAGTCCAGACATTGAATCGGACCAGTCCAAAATGGTCTAAAATATTCATTGGATTGGATTGGACCTGGTCCAGTTATAATGGACTTACATTGGACTAGATCGGATTGGACCAAATCCAGTCCAATTGACACCCTACTTTCAGCCACTTCAACATTATCAAACAGCTCCTTAATTTAGTGGCTCAGGTTAACCAAAAATCAGTCAAACTAATTCAAGTTAAATCCAGACCTAAAATTATCTGTTAAAATTTCCAGCACAAGCTCAGATAAGAGTCTTAGGTGCAAACTAGGTAACTCTTCTATAGCAGCGTTATCAACAGCTTTACAAAATATACATCAATCCACTCCTTCCAGTGCTTAGAACATATGCATCTGTCATTTAAAAAAAAAATCTATTTTGACTTCCTGTCTAACCTATAATTGTGAAACCAAAATATTTTGCTAATATCATATAATTTAAACTTTAAATACAACCATTCATGTAATTGGATTGGAAATAGATATCTGGAACATAAGCAAATGGAATTTGAATTTGAATTAAATTCAGATATTTCATATTCTCAACGGATCGAATTAAAATATACATCTTTTGAATTTTATATAATTTGTTGGCAGCTCTGATAAAGCCAACCGCCATTACAAGTAGTAAGCTTCGCTTTGAAATCTTACACAACTAATCACAATCAGAGGATTAGTTGGAACATGACATCCATTTGCTACACAAATAGTCCTCCAAACTCATTGAACTATAGGCTTGCAAATGTGAAATACCTTTTGAAAAATTAACAGTGGTAATAAAGCTAATCTCATTATGGCATTTCTTCAAACACCCTGCATTCAGCTTAAATTTCTTTATGGTGTTTGTCAGACTTTATTTAGCAAAAAGCTAATAAAACTAATCTAACTGGGGAGTACTAATAAGGACTATAAATACTACAAAATAAATAGATAAATTAAATAAGACAAACAAAATCAGATCTACCAAATTAATTCAGACTAAAGACAAGAAAATAATCAAGAATATTTTAATCGAAATCCAAATATTATAAAAATTTTCCTTGGGACCTTAGCACTTTTTTGAATTGTCTAGGGTGCTTAACACCTTCTAGTATTGTACTTTGGTCTTTGAATCCAGAGAATCTCATCCCCATTGAGCAATAATTCACTAAAAAAATCTTTTATCTGAGTTTTTCTAAATTTCAATTTAATAATTTAGGTGACGACTCCATACTTCATGTTACTTCGGTTCAAGTAGGTATAGTAAGTTTCTAGCTTTTGTGACTATTGTGTTCTAGGATAGAACACAAGAAAGTTTGAATAATACTTGTGAAGTTATTCGATAATTTTACATGGTCTGGTGCATAGGCTTGAGAGTAGCCTTACCTTTATAAATTCTGTGTTATTTGTTATAGTTGTTCTTGCTACTGTTTATATTCATACTTAAAATCACTATAATACATTGTTTTTTTGCTCGCAATCATTCTTATCTTACATTTAGAGTTGGGCATTTCACCTTTTGTTAGTAATGTTATTTAGAAATAAATAATTCATTCTAAGAATTGATTATTTGGAAAAAAAAAAACTTAGGCTTAGTTTGGGAAACTTATCAATATAAATATAAATATATAGAACCTTGTATTTTGTTTGCAGTGTACACATTTATACTTTGTACTCTTCCCATAGGCTTAGTTTACAAATACAAATATATACAGTATAAGACTTGTATTTTATATTTGTAAATCTTGTATTTGACATTTATATATTTGCATTTGCATTCTTCTCAAACAGAACCTAAGGCAGTGTTTGGAAACGATGCAAGTAAGTGTGAATGCAAATATGTAGTGTAAAACGGTCCATATAAATTGCAAAGTTTGATTAGTTTTGCACTAACAAATTTATCTTCTTACCAAACAGACTTTTTAGCTATAATGGATGCAAACACTACTTCCAGTAAAGTATATGTCTTTTTTTTTATAAAAAACCCACTTGAATGCTAATTAATTTCTTTTTTATTGATGTACTTTTACATTGTATTATCAATGTAAATATGCATTGGAAAATGTTTTTTTGATCATTTGTCAATGTATAAATATAATATTATCACACAGGCAAAAGTGGACCAGAGTACAAATTTACCCTGAAGGATGATACATGTGAAAGAAAAACTTACATGAATAAATGATGCCTTCCAGAAATCCAAGCCGACTCGAACTTTTGAATACGGATGGTTTCTTGGCCAAGGCAAGAAGGGCAGTATTGTCCTTTTCATCAAAGCCGACGAGTAGGTGAGGGAAATTGTCGACCAAATACAAAGCCTCGTCTAGCAAGCATGAACAAGAAAGGCAATTAGATCATCATGAATACAATAATCAGGTTATTTACGACTTTATTAATATTTTTCTATTTATTTTGAAAAAAAATCCATTTGATTAGTGGTAGGTTGACTCACCCTAGCTAGCTAGAAGATGGAATATCCAACTTCTAAATCAATTATTCTCCAAAGAGCAATTGCTCAGATGAGGATGATGCTAAGCTAATCTGGAAATTCTCTAAAAATGGAACGGGGCTTTGTCTCATTGTGAATCGACTGGGACCCTTGGTGCCTTCGGTGTGATGGAATGGTGAAAGGTGTCCGTCACCTGCTTCTTCATTGCTAGGGGTGGTAAGGAATTGAGTTTTTCTTGAGTTATTCAAAGCTCGATTTAGGTTTAAAACTTGACTTGAGTTAAATCGAGCTTTTAGCCAAGCTCGAACCTAATAAAACTTGACTTGTAAGGCTTGCAAATTTAATCGAATTTTTTTATATATGTACATATATGCATATATATAATACTTTTATTTTTATATATAATAATAATAACTAATTATTAAAATTAATATTTTTTTTAAATATCAAATAAAAAAATTTAATATATAATTTTTTATTTTTATAAAGCATTAGACTCGTAATCGAGTTCAAACCAAACTGAACTCGAGCTCATGAGCTTTTGACTCAAGCCAAACTCGAGCTCAAGTCTTCAGCTTGAGCCACATACTGTCTTGATGAAGCGAGTTCGAATAGCTTACTATTCGAACTCGGTCTGGCTTGAATCCAGTCCTATTCATTGCTGCCTGGGAGTTGGGACCCTCATCAATCCATTGAGATTTCATTCAAGTCCCACACTTTAGCGACTGGATTAACTCATTAGCAATTCAGAGCATGACTGGGAAAGTATTTGGGCATGTCAGTCTCTTTTATGCTGGAACCTTTGGGAGTCTCTTAACAAGTTTGTTTTGTAGGTGGGAAGTTGAGCAACCTTCGAGGGTGGTAGCCTAGTCTGCAACTTTTCAATAGCTGCATGTAGAAGTCTCTCTCCCAAGCACCCCCACCCCCCAACTCCATTTCCCTCTTAAATTCCCACCTAGGATGTATATGGATTGCAATGGTTGTGATGCCAGTTTCATCTCTGAGTCGAATAAATTTGGATTAGTAGCAGTAGCCATAAATCAATCTGGGACAATTGCCGTAGCAGAAATCTGAATACATATACAAGTTTAGTGGAAGATGCTAAATCCAGGACCATTCTTCTGGGTAGGGATGAGCAAACAAAAAAAAAAAAGAATCCAAAAAATTGAATCAAAAAACCAATTAACTGAATTGGTCGATTTAGTGTTTTTAAAAAACCGAAGGTATTGATTTGGTTTCGATTAACCAATATAGAAAACCGGTGATTAACCAAGTCGACCGATATATATATATATATATATATATATATATATATATTTCTATACTTTTTATATATATTAATGTATATTATATATATTTTATATATTATAAATTAATAAATATGCATTATATATAAATATATATTTATAATATATTATTTATTATTTATTATTTAAAATATAATGTTTTATATATATTTATAAGTTTTTATTGTATATTTATATATTTTTTATAATATATATTATAAAAATTAAAAAACCAACAAACTGAACCAGTCAACCGATTAATCGACTGATTTCGATTTAATTCTGATTACTGATTTTCCAAAACCGATAATACCAATTCGATTCTAAAAAATGCCCAAACCGAACCATGAACACCCCTACTTCTGGGTTGCAAGTTGGCCAATATGCTTGATTTCCAAAGTATAATCATTGAAATTGATGCATTAACTGGTGAAGGAGTTGGAAGTATCTCAACCCTCAGCTTTCTCCACTATGCATTGAAATTGGTTGTAATTGTAAAGGATAGTTGGGATCGAACCCCACCTGTTCTTCTCTCCGTTATGGGTTTGGGGTTAAAAATAACGCCCCCTCCCCTCCGTTTTTTTCTCTCCCTCGTTTAATGTTCACTAATGCCACAACCCACGTGGGGGATCAATTTGAATGAATGGAAGAAACTATCTTCAGTATTTTAGCTCAAAAGTCAGAATTGAAAGAGGGGCATTATTTTAATACTACAGACCACCATCAGATTTTGAAAAACATTGGGCAAAAATCTGCCACCAAAGTGGTCACATGTTAACTAACTCCTAATGAAATGCCAACACAGCATTCGAAATAAATTCAAGATATCATAGCAACCAAGGTTTTAAAAGGCTACCTCCAAGTGGAGGCCAGAAGGTTGGGTGTCATAAGGGCGAGGTATAAGCTTCAACTTCAAGGCGTTTTGAGGCCTAAGCCTTGTACAAGAAAAAATGGATAATTAGATATAATAAACAATGAAGACATAAAATTAAGATTTTATATGGGTATATTAGAGATGGGTAAATCGAAATCATTACAGGGTTTTTTCCCCTAAAATCCAAATCTAAGTGTTGAGTGCAGGATATGAACCAAGAGCAAGGCAATCTTGTTCTTGCACCAGCTGTAAGCTTTAGTGAAGAGTGAACATCAACTATGGGGTAGAAGGGCAAGTGAGTAAAGAAGCATGAACAATAGAATAAGCTACTCACCGAAGTAACCAGAGTAAATTGCATTTGTTAGCGTCCTAACGCCAATATTTTCCCTTTCAAAAGGGCATGGATCTTTTGCCTTATCAGACTGGTAAAGAAAATCCACCATTTCCTTGCCAGCACACTGAAAAGCTTTAATAAGAGGCGTTTCACCGCGGTAGTTGATGAACCCCGTCAATGTTTCATTCCTTTCCATCATAGCCCTTGCTATCTCTGTGCAGTCGGCTGCAGCAGCGCCATGTAGGGCAACGTGATTGCTCCAATCCGTCTTTGCTATGTCATGGGAAGCTAGTCTCCTCGTTAGATTCAACACGAACTGTGTGTGTCCAACATTTGCAGCTATATGCAGTGATGTCTCACTGTACTCATTTATCCAACTAGTTAGGGCATCTGGGTACCGGTCAAAGATTTGCACAGCAGCTTCCCAATCGCCAGAGTGAGAGGCTCTCACCAGATCTCGTTTTACTCCGGCGTCCATCCTCCTTGTTCCGCTGCCTAGAGAAGAAGAACAACAACACCAACAAGTTATATTATACTAAATTTGAATCTGCTTGATAGCATCTTGGTACCAACAAATGCTTTCAACACTGTCCCATCCCAAAGGTGACCGACTAACTGCATCAGCAGCCGTACATAGCCAACATCTTCCCCTTTTGTCCAAGTATACTACTCTAATGGTTTGCTGGCACAGTGCTGGAAGCATATGCCAATTCTATTTAATATGGATACAATAAGTTTTAATCCGACTGCCTTAGGAGACAACCCCATGTGCTCTGAATAATTGGATTGGACTTTTAGGGGAATACATCGGTCAAGGGCAATTTTGGGGCCCTAATATCAATAAAAATAACATATTTAATAAAATTGTAAAAATAAGTTAATTTTGTAAAAAAAGGGCAAATTCCTGTTCATCTTCTACTCAGAAACGCTCACCGCCGCCTCTGATACGCCTCCGGTACGTCTCCGACAGCTGCCTCCTACTGTCGTCTCCAACGATCAAGAAAGCCACTTCTCTGTCTACCCATTTTTTCTCCCCCTTCCTCAGCTACCTTCGACCAGCCCTGTTCACCACCTTCTTCGAGAACACCGAACTTCCAACGGCAGTACTATTCCAGCATTCTCACACAACTCCGGCGTATATCTGATATCTCAACCATCGCTGGATTTCATATTCTTCCTGTATCATTTATCCTCTCTTCACCCCACCGTTCAAGGCTTTTTTGTAAACAATCCACGAAAGCTTTGTTCCCGGCCCTCATCACTGGTTAACCCGAAAGCTCTGTTCTCGGTCCTCATCACCGGTTAACCAGAAACATTATCAACGACGGAAATTTGACCTTTCCATCCTCCCTTTCGATTTCGACGGAGATTTACAGTTAAGGGGATCGTCCTTTCCCATCAAACTACAGTTCGGAGCTGAGCTAATTGAAATCTCCCGTGTACATCGTCCTCAGTCAGGCCAAAATCTGCCAAGGAGTTATAGGCATTGGGCTGGCTTCGGAGCCAGTGAAGAAGCTCCCTGCCGAACCAGCTTCAGTCAAGTTTCTAACACACCCACCTCTACCGTATTTCACATACTTAATCTATGGTTAACTAGTTATTTATCTTCTTTTAGTTGTGCTTATCTTTTGCGGTTCTGAATTAATATATTTGTTACAAGTTTCTTAGAAAGAATCAGTCAGTTCTCTGCAACTTTTTTTATCTGTTTTTGTTTTCTCTTCCGATGATGCTTTTGCTTGCCCATGGTGCGTTAGTTTTCTTTTTTTTTCTTCTGTTCAAGGCTTAAACTCTGTTCAGAATAAGAAGTCTGTGAAGTTTCAAATCCTGATGTATCATTCCCTTTCAATCAGTAGTTCTATCGATTTGTTATTCGTTAGGTTTGCTTTACTTAAAATTGATACTGGCATGGAATTTACTCTGATTTCAAGAGTTATATTTCCTGTTCTGTAAGTTAGATTTAATGGTCGTCTGGTTGGATATTTTGAGACTGAGATGAGAAGCATGAAGTCCCGATTCCCATTGTTGGATGTCACTGAATTATGATCTCGGAGGCGATTGTTGGTGTGATACTCCCGATTCCCGTTGTTCGTTTCGTCTGCCTCCGCACATTGCCGGAGGCGGCGGCGAGCAGCGGCGCTGGTGAACAAATTGCAACAAGAAGAAGACAATCAGTGATTTTATCGTTAATTGATATTAATTTTAAAAAGTTTAAATTTTCTTTAAAATATTATTTTTATTGATATTAAGTACAAAAGTTGTCCTGATACATCGTCACCCTCTATGTTATATATATATATATAATGTGCAAGTTGTGTTTTTAAAAAAATACACGTGATCATATATATATATATATATATATATATGTGAATAATGGATTGACCATCTAATAAATTTTCAGACCCAAAAATACCCATTTTATCCTTTCGTTCAAGAAGATTTTAAATAGACAATCCTTATTGGTCACCATTTTTTTAATCAAAGATCTCCATTCAGATACATCATTAGGACCTTTAAGACCTACCAAACCTTCACCAACTCTCGATCAACCATCCATACAATTTCATATTATAAAATTACCTTTTTACACATCATTTAAAAAGATTTTAAATCGACGATCATTATTGGCTCACTCCTCAAATCCAAGATTTCCACTATGATAGAACTATTCGAGATATCTAAACCATGTCAAAACCATCATCAACCTTTTGATCGACCATCTATGAAATTTTAGATCTCAAAATGACTGTTTTACCCTTCATCTAAAAAAATTCAGAATAGACTATCCTCATCAACTGAATTCAATAGCTACGTTATAAATCATCCCTTGCACATTAATGGGGGAGGCAAAGGGGGAGCCTTTCAAGGAAGGCCGTCCCCTAGCATTAATTCGGTCAAACAAGTTAAGCCAATGAGAAAAATGAAGAAAAAATAAAAAGAAAAATGAAAGAAAATCTAGATTCGACTGGTCCCTTAGATTAGTATAAAAGGGTCCTATCTCTCCATCTCTTTTGAAAGCCTAACCATAAAACCCTAACCTTTCCCACTCAAACCCTAACTAGCCTTCTCTAATTTTGTTAAACCAAACTAATCCTCCTCCACTCGGTCCAAGCCTAGTTGAACTAAACCAATTCAGTCCTAACTAAACTAAGCACCCCATCCTCATTTGGTTCAAACAAGAAAAACAATAAAAAACCTAAAGATAAACCTACAAAAAAAAGGAAGGGCCAAATTTGAAGACTTGGACTCAAGCTCTGACAACAGAACCTATCCATCTTCTTCCTCCTCTCCTCTCCAACCTTTGGCAACCCTAGCAAAAACCCTCCCTCTCACTACTACCTTCCCCAAAATCCAACAAAACTCTCCTCCCTCTTCTCAAATGCCATCGAACCACCATTAACCTTCAACCATTTTCCTTCCATCCTATCCCTCAACAAAAAAAAAGAGAGAGAGAGAAAAATGAACAAAAAAAAATATGCACATCTCAATTCGGCTATGTGAAGGAGGAGAAGAGACAAGAAGAAGAAAGAGAGAAGAAGAAGGATAAAGTGAAGAAGAAGAAGAGAGCCTCCATCCTCTCAGCTAGGTAAGAGGTTAGATGTCAACACCCTAGCAGCTCCATTTTCTTCCTCTCTCAATCTCACCTTCCCCAAAAATTACAACCAAGTCATTACCTTCACCACTTTCTTCCTTTCTCCTCCATTCCAAGAAAGACCAAAGACCTAAGCCCCCATACCATGTTCTCCTTCCTCCATTAGAGACCGGCTTAAACCCTAACCTCACTTTCCCATCTGGTTGGAGAGAACCTGAACCTCATTCAAAAAAAAAAAAGAAACAAAAATCCAAGCCACTCTTCATTCGGTCCTGTGAAGGAGAAAAGGGGAAGAAGCAAGAAGAGTTCAAGGGAAGCTCAAGTCAACCTACCCATTTGCGGTTCAAGCAAGGCACAACCTGAGAAAGGACTGCTAACATTTCAATATCCTCCACTCTACAAGGTTTTTGATCAAAAGCTACATTGAAGTGAATTTTCCACCTCATTTTCTTTTTTTATTGTTAGTATTCTATCTTTGTCTTTCACCTTCGGCATTGAACTACTCCGTTATTAGATGATGTTGTGCATTTTTTTTCTTGACTTCATTTCTTGATGATTAGATGCAGGAGTTATTAGAAAAGCATATTAGTAAATTTGAATGGTCATTCCATTTTCCTTTGGTGCTTATTGGGCATGTTTTGAACCAAAAAGAAATGTTGGAATCAACTTATGTTCATAGTGATTTAGTGTAAGAAGTACTAGAATAGCTTATTAGTTAATTCTCATGAACGCCTTATGTCTTTTAGTGTTTATTTAATTTGATTCGAATCAATTTCAGCACTAAAATCTATTAACTTTAATAGTTTTTCAACTCATCCTAGTCTAGGATAAATGAATATGCTTAATGCTCTAGGTAGTTTCTTATTTCAACATGGTTTATTTTGTTGAATGGATGATGTTTGCCCTTTTTTTGTTAATAATCTCTTGGTAATTAGGTGTAGAAATCATTAGAGATATTTGTTCATTGTTTCGGATAATATCCAATATTCTTTTAGTATTTCTTCAAGTTGGATTGGTATCTTTGCTGAAATATTTCCATTTCATAATATTCCAAGTCGATTTTGTATAATTAAGTGAATTGTGCATATTTGAATTAAGTGTGGAATGTTAGAGTATAGTTTTTTCTGACTTCCTATTTTATGTTAAATTTGATACTTTTTTTTTCTTCTTGCTTCTTTATTCTCTTTTAATCTTATGTTGGGGGTTAGAGGGAGCATGACATGTAGTTGTCAGCTCCTTTGCTCCTTTAAGGATTTCTCCTATCAAAATGGGGAATGAGAAAGTTAAATCACTTGGGAAGTAACCCCATAATGGCCATCATCTTTGGTAGGCAAACTCACTAGCATTCTTGTTGGATTAATCCCTTCTAGTTTTCTTTTACTTTAGGGGAGTGGTACTACATGTTGAATATGGGAGAGGGGTGCCTAACACCTTCCCTCTTTTCCCTAAAACGTACCTAGAATAGCTTTAATTTGGGCACATGAGAGTCTTGTTTTGTTTCTTAAACTTGGGAGGCCCATCACTCCCATGTTCCTTGCACTGATGGGTGGTGACTCTATATTTCAGCCATGGAGTGAACCCCAAACTCAATTTGGATGTTCCTGGCAATGGAGGAGGCCGTGGCCTTTTGGGAGGCCAAGGTCGAGGAAACCGGCGAGGCCGAAATAGATGTTGTGTTTGAAGAGGAGCCCAACATCCCTATGCGGTTCGGTAGCCGCTTTGCGTCTTCACCTTGCGGACTAACTTTCGGGGACCTAGCCCGAATTAGGGCCCTTTCTTGTATTCATGAGGAGTATGAGCTAAGGTAACCAGGTATTGGTGAGAGGGATACCTCGGCCCAGTTAGGGGAACTTTGCATATATGTGCACGACCCTATAGTTGGGCTGAGATTTCCTTTGAGTGAGGGTATCGTGGTGGTGCTAAGGTGGTACCATGTCTAGACAATCCAGTTGATGCCCAAGTCTTTTAGGTACTTGGTTAGCCTCCTTTGTTACTGCTTGATTCACGATGTTCACATACTTTCTGCACCTGAAGAAGCACCAATAGGGCTATTACTATTTCTTCGCTCAACATCACAATAAGGTGCTCATTAGGGCCCCCTCCTCAGTGAAACACTGAAAGGAGGGTTTCTTCTTTGTGCGTTGCCCGAGGGGCTAGCCGTTTCTTGCCAAGCTGTCAACCCTGAAGATCAAAGTGAGGGCGTCAACCAAGGTCGAGTTGTCTAAGGAAGAAATAGCAGCCACCAGGAGGATGGAGAGGGACAACGTGTATGGGTACACGTTGTTCTAAATGTTGATCCATGCTGGGCTAATGGAGCCCCCAACTGGTCTGTCCTTGCTTTTGTAAGTGTTTCTTCTTGCTTTATTTCTTTGGCTTGGACAAACTTGTTTTTTTGGCAGATATGGTGATCGTAGACGAGGAAGAGAGAACCAGACACATGCAGGCCGCCACGCAGAAGAGGGCAGCAGCCCAGGATGAGGTGGCTCAGTAGCAACGTTGTTCTGAGGTTGCGAACCCTCAATCGAGCAAGAGGCTGAGGCCGATTGAGGGAGACGTGGTGGATGTTGGCTCCGATGGGTCTTCATTGAGGTTTATGCCACTGAGAGGTTTCGAGATCCCATCCCCTAGTCTAGCAGATCCAACAATTGAGGTTTACAGGCCAAGCTGGAGTGTTCGGCTGGAAGACACTCTAGAGACCAAGGGCGTGCTAGAGTAGTTGGCTAGGGGCATTCTTATGCCTAGCATCCAAAGAGAGACCAACGACTGCACAAGTAGGGTGCTGGAGAGCGTGACCATTTGGGAGTCTGTTTCGATAAGATTTTCATACTGTATTCTATGTTCTTTAGTTTGTTTGGCCATGCTCGTTGAATTCTTGTTTCTCATGTTGTTTGCACGGTGAGAACATTGGTCAACAAGAATTCTCTCATCTGTAGGAAAAGATGGATGAGCTGAGACAAGCAGTAGCAGCCAAGGACGAAGAGTTGTGGCATCTGAAGAGCCGCACTCGTGAGCTCAAGGGAGATCGCGACAAGGTGAGGAAGGCAACCAAGGAGGCTGAGGCGAAACTACTACGGGTCGAGGAGGAAGCAGTCCTTAGGTACAAGGAGTCTGAGGAGTTCCAGATTGCCCTCGAAGATTATGCTACAGACTCTTGGTAGACCAGCTTTGCTCACTTCCAAAGGAGGGTCATTCGCTAGTTCCCAAAGGTGGCCAAAGTCGTTTAGGGGTTCAGCCCCGTTTGATGCTAAAGAGCCTGATGATGTCGTTGTTGTTGATGCCTAGGAGTGAGCCGAGGATCCCTAGCAGATAGTTGAGGTGCTCTTTTTCATCTTTTTTTGTTGTATACAACTCGGTATGTCGATCTTACAATTAATGTATCAACTTTTTTTACTAATGGAAGTTTGGTCTTTCTACCGAACACATTCTAAATTGTTTTTCCCTTTTTCTAAGTTGTGCTTCGGAATTAGGTCGCTCGGTAGGGAGTGTAGGCCATGCTTTTGTACTTAGCTCTCAAGCTAGTTGGAGTTTTGGATTTGATGTTGTGGCTGGGGTCCTCGGCCCTATGGCCTCGGCCTCATTTTGGCCGAGGTCTTTCATCTTCATTGGACAAGGTCTCTAGCTTGATGGCCTCGGTCTTATGCTGGCTAAGGTCTTGGACTTGATGCCAGATGGTCGTGATTCTTGACTTCGTAGCATTGGTCTTATGTTGGCCGAGGTCTTTGGTTATCACTGGTCGAGGTCTCTAGCTTAGTGGCCTCAATCTTATGCTGGCCTCAGTCTTTGGTCTTTGCTAGATGAGGTCTTGGACTTGACGCTAGATAGCCAGGACTCTAGACCTCGTGGCCTCGATTTTATGTTGGTCGAGGTCTTTGGTTTTCACTGGTCGAGATCTTTGGCTTAGTGGCCTCAGTCTTATGATGGCCGAGGTGCTTCCAATTGGGGAGCTCGGTGGCACCTGGTCTTGGAGACCTTCACACTCTTTGGTTGGGCTAGATGTGATCCTCGATTAGTTCTACTCTGACTGTGAGTTGGATGGGTGCATGGAGTTCGATGGCCATCCTCATGCCATTATATGGTGGGGATGTCGTTCCTGCAGTGCCCATCGGGGGCTTGTTTTGGCCGTGGCTATCTGTGGTCGGTCAAGTTTTTCATGAGGTTGTCATCGCACTACATCATTGGTCAACGCGGAGTTCGGTTGTTAGACTTCGGTCGGGCTATGCACAAGTGTTTGGTCATTTGTGCTTGAAGAGGATTCTTTATTTATTGAATTTGTACAGTCCGAACATCGTTAGTGCTCGGTGCCGATGGTCGTTAGTACATTTTAGTCTTGGCACTCGAACTCCTCGGGTAGATCTTCCATGCCTAGTTTCCCCTTTTAAGGGTCAACCAACCCGAGATGACGTTGATGACCCCGACTGGGGGAGCTCGGGCTAGGGGTTCATTGACGCAAAGCAATTCTTCTCTAGGTTTATGTTCTTTGATGTAGATGAATATGCGAAGGTATCTGCGTCGAATGAGGTCTTCCAAGTGGTGGCGAAGGTCGTGGCCGTGGTCACGGTGGAAGTCGCAAAACTTGTCTCGATTTCTCTTGTAGCTCTGGGTTTTCCTCTTCTCAGTCCACTTGATGAAGCTGCGGTCGCAGATTTGCATCAATATGTGAGCCAATAGAGCATTAAGTGGAGTGAAGTTGTGGTACATCGAAAGCGAGGTCCTTGGTCTATGGTCAGGTTGGCGGTCTAGCCTCCTGGTTTCTCGGTCCAGTCTTCGATCGTCATGATCTCTATGCTTTTGGTCGTGCTGATCTTCATCCTCACTACACAGTGCCTAGGCTTATTCAGCATTCATATACTGCTATGTGTTCTTCATGAGTGCTGCCAGGTTAGGCAAAGGGTTCTTTTGCAAAGAGAAGCTGAACATTGAGGAGCGTAGTCCGCTCATGATGGCGGTCCCAGCTACTAACTAGATTAAAGCTTGGACCTGGAGGTTCTCGGTCCTTGCTAAGTATTCCTTCAAGGTCTCTCCTTTCCTTTGTCGCATATGCATGATGCTTTCTGACACCTTCCAGTACCTTTGGATGGCGATGAACTACACCAGGAACTACGTTTCCAGCTGAGGATATGGGCCATAGTGGAAGGAAGGTGTACTAGGTTCTAGCGACTCCATAGAGGGTGGCGATGAAGGCCTTGCACATAAGGCCTTTGGAGGAGTCATGCAACATCATTATTGCCTTGAAACCCTCAATGTTGTCGAAGGCGAGGTCCTCGGTCTATGGTCAGGTCGGAAGTCTAGCCTCTTGGTTTCTCGGTCTGGTCTTCAATCGTCGTGGTCTCTACGCTTTCGGTCGTGCTGATCTTCTTCTGCCCTACACAATGCTTGTGCTTATTTAGCATTCATATACTGCTATGTGTGCTTCATGAGTGCGGCTAGGTTGGGCAGAGGGTTCTTTTGCAAAGAGAAGCTGAACATTGAGGAGCGTAGTCTGCTCATGATGGTGGTCCCAACTACTAACTAGATTAGAGCTTGGACCTGGAGGACCTCGTTCCTCACCAAGTATTCCTTCAAGGTCTCTCCTTTCCTTTGTCGCACATACATGATACTTTCTAATACCTTTCAATGCCTTTGGCTGGCGGTGAATTGCACCAGGAACTACGTCTCCAATTGAGGATATGGGCCACGGAGGAAGGAAGACGTATCAGGTTCTAGTGACTCCAATAGAGGGTGGTGATGAAGGCCTTCGAGGGAGCCATGCAACATCATTATCGCGTTGAACCCCTCAATGTGGTTGTTGGGGTCTGAGGCTCCATCGTACTTCTCGAATTGAGTAGGTCGCCATCTGGCTGGGGGGAGCTCGTCGACTATCTCTTGGATGAAGACGGGCTCTTTGGTGGGTTGTTGACCATGGTGCTGCTCTATTGGTCGAGCCGTTGGAGGGGCAACGCTTCTATCCACTTGGTTATGCTCCAATTTGGCTATAGCCACTCTCTTAGTTCTTTGATCTTAGTGTCTTTGTCGATTAGGACCACGTTCCTAGACTTCTCCCCTTTCGGGATTGTAGGATGATCTCAGGCCGAGCTGGATTCGACTATCGAGATTGGTTATTATTGCAGATGTTGTCCGAGCCGTGTCGGCACTCGGGCGGTGGTGGGATCTACTATGGGCATCGTGTGCACAAGACCAGGTTGGGGAGTCAAATATTTTAGATGGCTTTGGCTATTTGCGGTTGGACTGGGCCTTGTGCCTGTCTGTGTAGTGCCTTTTGTGGTCCTCGGTGCAAGGAACGGCTATAGTAGGTACTTGCGTGGCAGGGCATGTAGCTTGGGGAGGGTGAGATGGTTGCCCCAATGTCTCCATCATGGCTAGGATGTGATTGACTTTTTGCTGCATGGCTTGGAATTGAATGGGGTTGATCGCACTTTGATGTTGGGATCTTGAGGTGGAGAGTTGCAAAGTGGGCGGGATCCCTGAGATGGGGAACAGGCTCCGGAGCGGTCGGATGTGTTTTTAGGCATGGTTGCTTTAAGTGTATGAAAAGGTGTTTGGGAAATGGGTTTTCGTATGCTTCCCATAGACGACACCAATATGATGTTGTTCCAAACCAAGGACACAATCAAATAATCCTGCCAACTAGACAAGGCTGAGGTGGAAAGACGAACCTACACACTGAGATCTGCAATCAGGAGAAAGGTCAGAGGCTCGAGGAGTTATCCCCTGGGTTAGTACTCCGATGCTCAAGTCAGTTGGGTAGAGAAAGAGGTGGTCGGGTCGAGCAGGTTGCAATAATGTTGGTTCGGGCCGAAGAGATATTCAAAGATTATTCTTCCAAAAGTCCCTTACCTCGAGCGAGGAATATCTATTTATAGTTGGGTGTCCGTGTTCTAGAGGGATAGGGCTTCGGGGTTGTTAGGATGAGGTCGTCCACTGAGATCTTCGAGAGGTTTCCTCTTCCTTGGTAGAGTTCGCTTCCATGTTCATGCAGGACACACCTTCTTAGTCATGCTCTTCCGTTACACGTAGTGTTGACCATGCTTAAGAGAGAGGACATATGTGGAGGTTAACACATGACATCCTTAACCAGCTTAACCATCACCCAAACACATACAATAATGCAAATGGTGGTTTAATGGGCAATCATCATGGGTTTTCAATGAGAGATCTGAGGTTTTCAAGGAAGCCATTGATAATGTCTCGATTCTAATGTTGAGTGGTGTAAAACCAACTCAAAACTGACCTTCTTTGATATTGATTACTAGTATTTGTTTTCTAATCATTTAGCTAGTTTTGTCTTCGTTTAAATACATGTTAAATCAAGCGTACTTGGTTCGGATTTGGGTCAATGGAATAGTATTAGCTTAAATTCATTTTATATTATTTTAACAATATTATATGATCTGTTTTATATTTTTTAATTTTTTATTACCATTATTTTTCCTTTTTTACATATTGTTATATTTATAATAATTTGTTTACTAATATATCTTTTTTACATTATTTATGTTAAATTATTTTTACGATATATTATATTTATGATAATTTTTACTATTATATTATAATTTTTTTACTATTTTATCTTTTTTTCTATTTTTTTTACTATTTACAATTTACAAATCTCCTTATTATATTTTATATTATTTTTATTCTTAAATGATCTTTTTTATATATTTAATTTTTTATTACCATTATTATTATTATTATTATTAGTTTCTTTTAAACTTTTATATATTTTATAATACTTTTTACTATTTTATCATTTCTAACATTACTTTTTTAATTTTTATTTATTTTTATCATATTTTATATTATTTATTATTTTTGTAAATTTTTATAATATCATTATACTTTAATCGTTTTCATTTACTTTTATTTAATTAATGACTTAAAGGATAAATTTGTAAACTGCAACCTTTTCAGATGTCACAACATTCAAATTATCAAATAACTTCACTATATTCAAATGTCTACAAAAGAAAAAAAAATGATTTTCCACTAGATGCTTTCAAAGCTTTTTCAGATGTTTTTTGTCTTTTCAGACTTCAAAGTTCAGATTTACTGAATGCCACCTAAGTTCTAAACTAAAATTCTATTTTATTGGCATTACGTAAAATATTTCAAATCAAAATGTTTATAAACTTAGAGTCTTTTTTATGGTTCATGGGACTACACAAACCATGGAAGCCCAAGTCTAGAGAAGCATACAAACCTTTGAACTTGGGCTTATGTTTCAAGCCCGAGCCTAGGTTGTGGTCATTATCACTGCTGCAAAGTGCAGCTTGACCCATGGGCTTAGCATCTCTTGAACTCAGTCCTGACAAGGGCCGTACATAGGGGTGATCATTTCAGCCCGGCCCGACTTGGAAATTCTAGGCTTGGGCCTTGGGTTTTGTGTTCAGGCCAAGCCCGGGCCCGGGCCCACATCAGGCCTGCAAATTTTAGGGCCAGGCTTGGGCTTAATACTTCAAGCCTGGCCGGTCCACATATATTTAAACTTACATATTTTGTATATAATGTATACATATGTATACATGTTATTTTACATTATATTATATATTTTATATATAAATATTATAACATGACATGTATAATTAATATTATATGTAATATTTTATATTATATAATGTATAAAATAAGTTTATATGCATGTTATGTCATTTAATGTATAGATATGTAATGTTTTATATATGAGTGACATTGGCCCGAAATCAGGCCCGAGCCCGTATAAACCTGGGCTAGGACTTATGTTTTAGGCCTGGAACCTCAGGCTGGGCCGGGCCCAGGCCAAGCTATAGCTGTTATCATAAATGCAAAGCCCAGCTTGACCCGACCCATGATCACCCCTAGCCGTACATAGATTTAAATAGTTTTTTCAAAAACGGTTACATTTCACCTCAAAACGGTTTTTTAGTTAAAAATCGTTGATTTGATCAGCAAAACAATGACCTAGCCAAACTGTTGACTTGGACAATTCTTTGGCCGCTTTTTTTTTTCATTTTTTTTTGTTAGAACAGGCCATCCATTTAGACCAGATGATCAGACCATTCAACCCGAGAATCAGACCCCATAATGGATCCCTGTCTGATATGGTTTTAAAAACATTGATTTAAAATAAAGCACACAACCCTCTATATCGGATTTTCTTCACACTCTTATTCTAAACAATACATTTTCAATATAATATTCGCTTCGCTAATTCCTTAGAAAACAAATAATATTTTATCAAATCCAAATTAAACTACTATTCCTACTAATTGCAAAACCGAACCAAACCATAAATTGTAAACTGTATATATAATTATAAATATTTAATAATTTTTTTATTTATCATGTTTATGATTCCAGTTTATTGGCCACTTATTTTTTGGATATTATATTTTTTCCATATCATAGTCGAACCCTTTTACTTTAGTCTTTTAGGCATGGTCAAACTTTTGATTGTGTTGAAACTTGATTGGATTTATGAATAGTGATTGTGCGCGATCTGGAAGCTCCTAGCTGGAAGATGACTTGGACCATAGTCGCGTGGCAAGCTGGACCAAGCTACAAGACAAAGGATCAAAGAACCCAGGGTGGTTGACTCGGTGGTGAGACTAAAAAGTACTCTATTTTTATCCCCAAATATTCACTCTTTTACATTAATTTAGCACTTAATTGGACTCATTACTTTTGTATTTCGATTCAGGGCAAGAAAGAAGGCAATTGGAAGAAAAACAAGGCAAATCGGATGATTTTGCACAGTTTCGGCACCATTCAGTAATCTGGGCATAACTCTCAAGTCCGGACTCCGATTTGGATAATTCAAGAGGCATCAGTAAGATGAAAGAAAGGCCCACAAATTTTATGTTTTTGGTTTTGACAGATTCGGTCCGCATCAAAGATGAAATCGGGCCTGAAGTCGGAGCAAGTTCGTAGCAAGGCCCATTTCACAACTGAAGACCAATTCGCAGAAGAGCCTTGTAGCAGCCCAAGTTATTAAAGTAGCCCAACTCGAATTCAAGAGCCAAGAGTCCAAATTTCGAATGTAATCTCCAAAAAAGATAGTCTTATCAGATTTAAATTTTGAATGTAATCCTATAAAGATAAGAAGATTAAGATTAGATCACTAGATAAGAGATAAGATAGGATTAGTTCAAAACAAGATCAGGACTTTCTAATTTGAGGTTAATCTCCTAGAAGGAATTGGAAAACAACCCTCTCCCTAAGCTATATAAAGGGGAGGGGGGGGACCAACTTTAGCCATCCAACAATCCATCAATCTAGCATCAAGCAACTCAATCAATCAAGAAGATCAGTTTGACCTTCTGAGAAGCAGAGCAAGGAGGATTCGAAAATCATGAGCAGCTAAGCTTTTCTTTTCTGGTTCAAGGGGGGATGTTCGATTGTGTCATCGTGAGGTTTTGTATTTAATTCAGGTTCTTGCTTTTTAATTCAAGTATTTGTTGGTTCTTGTGCATATTCTCTATGGATGTTGATGTTAATTAGTCTGACAAATTAATTAATGTTGATCTTCCTACTGCTACCCATGATTTGATGATCCGTAATTGTCACAAATAATGGTACAAGTAGCAAATAGGTTAATATCTTTCTGGGTCAATTGTTCGTGACAGCCTTTGACCAATGTATTGGCATGTTTTAACCTAAAGGGAATCAATGGAATAAGATTCGATAATTGTAGTTATCTCAATTATTGTTATCTTGGTTTAACTGTTTTCACAAAGGTGATTGCTATCATTAATTGATATGGAACGCTATCATACCCAGTTGGTTAATGGTAAGTGTTGATCGAATGCTGGGTTTGGTCAACTAATTTAGGAAAATGCAAGGTTTATTATGGCTATCCTAGTTAAATACTTGAATTGCAAGACTGCTGAAGTTTACCTATGATCAGTGACCAATTGACTCAATCTGAACCCTTGGATCAAAATTCGGTAAGACTGAATTTTCCTTGTAGTTGTTATTTGCTGTTTTGTTATTCTTAAATTTTATTCATTCCCATTCTTTAAATTGCGCATTCGGCTAAGAAATTCCTAGCTCCCTGTGGGATTCGACATGGTACCACTGTCACTACAAATTTATTGTAAGGTGGGACTAGCATTAATTTTGAGGGCTTCGACAACCCATCACTCGGCGTGGTTGCTCCGATGCTTAAGTCAATATTGTATTATGGTTGCAAGCTGAAAACTTGAATGCTAGAGTGCTAGTGTGCAAATAATCGTGCGTACCTGAGTTTTGAGGGTTGATGCCCTTATATAGTTGGGATGTCGTGGGTCTCGTGAAACGCTCTTGAGATCTTTGGCCCATGACGTACGGATCTGTTCCGCTTTAATAGGAGAGTAATGCACCAATTAATGAGGTTTATCACTTCCCTTCGATTCAGGCGGGATGAGGATAAGGCTTACGGTTACGCGGCATGATCCCGAGAAGTTTGGAAACGACGGTGAGCACCCGAGGTCCCCTGTTCTACTGACGTGACTTCATATGTCAATTTGTTGCCTGGCTTGCAGGTCGCGTCTATGTGTCCCTTGCATACTAGGTCAGGCCAAATCACCCCTTATCAATTGCCCCCACTCCCCGTGCCGTGGGTCCTGACCCGGTGTGGGGAATTCACGGCGAGCCCAGGTTGGTTTAGCATGACTTCCAAGTGGTTCAGAGGGTGGTTCTTTGGTTGAACCTTCATGGCCCTTTTGGCTCAACCAGGGAGAACCGAGATCGTGTACTGGGTACGCGCGGACGCCATGCCGTTTATAAATTCCGTGAACGTCAAAACACGCACTCAACCGATTTTGATCTCGGGAGTCATGCAGCTTGTTTTCATGGGAGCCATCAGATCGTGTACAACTTGAACATTGAATCTCAGTTGCGGTGGCTATAAATAGGGCTAGAGGGGCCCATTTTTCTCGCCATATATCACGTGTTGTAGTTTGGTTGAGGTCGTGCTTCAGTCTTCCAGGTCGGTGTCAGTCGCCTTTGCATCCGAGGTCTCATTGCTTTCTTCAGTCTTCTTCGGTGCTTATGAATCTCTCGGCTAATGCGAGAAACTCTGTAATAGTCTTTGGTCGATTCACTCTAACGTACCACCTGAACTCCTTGTGTGTGACTCCTTTTTTAGCTGCGTTGAGGCGTACTGCTGAGTTGAGATCTGGTATCTGTAAGCACGTTTCATTGAAACGTTTGATGTAGCTTTGGATTGACTCACCTTCCCTCTACACCACGTTCAGAAGGCTTTCTTGTGACTTTGGGCACTTCTTACTAGTGATGAAGTGGGTTGTGAACATGTCTACAAACTGTCTCCAACTTATGGTGGAGCTTGGCGCGAGATTCCTATACCAAGCCTGAGCTAATATTTTGAAAGTGGTGGAGAAAGCCACACACATACACGCTTCGTCTGCCCCGGCAAGATGCATTTGAGAATGGAACGTGTCTACATGATTGTTGGGGTTGTAGGATCCGTCGTTCTTGTCCAATGGAGGTACCTTGAAATCTTTTGGCATCGGAACTACTAATAGCTCGGGTTACAAGGGGGATTGCCAGCTCAACAAAGTTGGAGCCACTCGTGTAGCCACCAAGCTTACCTCTTCCCTTTTCTTGCTCTGCTCCAACGGTTGGTTGTTCTTCATTGGCAGGCTGTTCCTGGTTGAGGAACGGTGAGTCTTGCGACGCCACCATTGTTGCTTCTTTACTGGCTCGATGTTTGTGCTGCTGACTTCTGTATGGTTAGGCACTTCAATTCTGGTATGCTCTCACTTCTAACACTGTCGCGAGGTGGGTCATGGTTCCTTCATGTTGCTTCTTCTTGGTTTTGAGACCGGTGTTGACTGTTGTGAGGCACCGAGGGGTCTCATCTTGAGTCCGCACGTCGGGCCCTAAGTTGACGATCATTGCGTTGTGATCCATTTTTCTTCGGTCGCGAATGTTGATGTTGATTGACCCTCTCGGATTGGCTGACTTTGGGCCTATCCTTCGGGTTCCCCCTTTGAGAGATTGGGGGAGTGTGTTGTCCGTCCATCCTGCCCCGAGGTGGGGTCTGACCCCTGGGGGGACCGGTACTTGCGAGGTCCCCTCACCCTAATGGGGAGATCGGCGAACATTCTGATGGGCCCTATGCTAGTTTTGGTTATGGTTCTATCCTTGGTATTGACCTATTTGCTGGGGTGGAATCTGCTATTGGTTCGGCTGTAATGGTGGAAATTGTTGTTGATATTGTTGGTAGAAATTATACTGTTGAAACTATTGGAATTGGTGGCTCAGTTGCATTTGGATCTGCATTGTCCTGACAATCTAAATGAGGTCATCGAATTGGGAATGCCTGATCCCAGGAGGGATCACCGAAGGCTCTGAAAAGGTGGTGTTCACCTTGGGCAATGGGACATTTATCTGCTGAGTTGTCTGAGGCACTGATGGAGAGGGGATCTCTGAAGCAGTCAGGGGAATGGTAAACTGCCCAATAGTCACTAGGAGGCCTTGAGGGAGTGATGTTTGGTGATCCTACCCCCCAATGACGTTAATGTCAATGCCCTTACTGGTGTTGTTGGAAGATGCCTTTGAAAAAGAGTGTGATGGTTGATGAAATGTAGTGTTGACCTTTTGATTGGAATCCCACAAACAACATCAATTGATTGTGCACGATCTGGAAGCTCCTAGCTGGAAGATGACCTGGACCTTAGCCACATGGCGAGCTAGACCAAGCTGCAAGACAGAGGATCAGAGAACCTGGGGTGGCTGACCAGGTGAGGTTGCTTCGATGCTTAAGTCAATATTGTATTATGGTTACGAGCTGAAGGTTTCAATGCTAGAGTGCTAGTGAGCAAATAATCGCGTGTACTTAAGTCTTGAGGGTTGATGCCCTTATATAGCTGGGATGCCGTGGGTCTCGCAAAACGCTCTCGGGATCTTTGGCCCGTGATGTATGGATCCGTTCCGCTTTAATAGGAGAGTAACGCACCAATTAATGAGGTTTATTGCTTCCCTCTAATTTGGGCGGGATGAGGATAAGGCTTATGGTAACACGGCGTGATCCCGAGAAGTTCGAAGATGACTATGAGCCTCTGAGTTCGGTTACTTGGCACCTCGGCGCAAGTGGGTACCGAGGTGCTCCGGGCTCCGAAATGACCGAGCACCCAAGGTCCCCCGTTCTGCTGATGTGACTTTATATGTCAATCTGTCGCCTAGCTGGCAGGTCGCGTTCACGTATCCCTTGCATACTAGGTCGAGCGAAATCACCCCTCATCAAATTGCATTGGTTCAAAATCTCTCTCTAGATGCAGTATTGCAATGCATATCAAGCAAGCTCGCTTCTTGGGGAGTTGTTTTTTATATTTTTACTTTTGATAAAAAGAAACATTTCATTCACTATCATAGTCAACCGCAAAAGTTAGCCATGGTGCAAGTTGTGGGCCTTGTGGCTAAATAATAAACTACCACATGGCTAACATAAAATCGTTATGTGCAATTTAATTAGGCCGCATTTGGCAAGCCTTGTCGCGCGAGCTGATAGCTTTTTAAAAGTGATGGAGCGCAATCCAGTCGGTCCTAGCTGTCAATGGTCTTGCCTCCGACTAGAGCGGTAAGTGCCTGAAACGAGGAAGAGATCGAGTGATCTCCGGGGAGGAACCCGGTGAGAGTGCTCCGTAGCTCAAGTTAGTATTCTTTCAAAGGCAAGACGAAAGAGAACCAGATAGCGCAAAATTATCACCTACCTCCATTCGGGAGGGAAAGGGGGCT